ATAAATATGTATTATTAATTTGAACCAGTTTTTTTTTCTAACAACGAGCAAATAATTTGAGAGAACATCTGACAGTAGAAACTCGGTACCGGTAAATGTAATGTCTAACCACAGACAATATAATACTTTAATGTAAAGTATTATATTGTCTGTGGTCTAACTCCCAATTTTTGTAACCTGCATTCGGGCCTCCATACAGGAGCGAAACCAACATACACTTTGTTCGCTGGAACCATAGTCCCTAATTCATTTATGCTAATAGTAATTCATGATCAATATAGTCGAATAGGTAATATGCTATAGAGACCTTTTTCTTTGGCTTCAAAGACTAGGTATCAGCAAACAAATTAGTCACAGCAGTACAAGTTTCGTGGTTTCTTATAAACCCTGACTGTAGCTTAGACAGTATATGATACTCATCTAGAAATAAAGCGATTTGTTCCGTTACTATCTTCTGCAGTATTTTTGAAATCGCAGGTAAAACAGAGATAGGTCTTACCTGCTGTTTGGTTTTTGGCGCAGCAGCTTTAGGCAAAGGTTTCACGTACGCAATCTTCCAACTGTTAGCAAAAACACCAGAGGCCAGGCTCATATTTGATGATTGTGTAATTACTCCTTATCCATATGGGCTAACAGATTTGATAATTTCTACATATACATCTTCAGCACCTAGAGCTTTTAATTTTATCGAGTTTATTGGCAATGTCCTAACACCTAGGTGTATTTGGGTAATAATCGTATTATTTAAGTTAGAATCATATATAATATCAAGAATCAAGAAGATTTATTGTCATTGAAACACAAAAATACAGTGTATTTACAATCGTCACAACTTAAATCTATGCAATTATGTCATGTGAAATACATTTACAAATATACATACATTGTTATATAAGACTGTTAGAAAAAAATTGTTTAATAGATAATCAAACTTTTTACAGGACCCCAAGTCAGGATATATAATCTGGATATATTATATATCCCCAAGTACAAAAATGATATAAGAACAAAACCTCTTACCCCTCTGACCTCATATTGGATTTAGAAAACTGCAAATGAATGAAAATAGAGCCAGAACAGACTAACAGGGGCACAAATATATTTTCTTTATGTTGTTGCAAGGGGAAGGTAAAAATAGCTCCTTATCAACATTCTGAGTTCATGAAAAATCAATAAGCAGTTTAAGTATTAAAAAGGCTTAAATATGATATACACCTTATATTAATTTACACACATGCGTTTCAATATTTCAACATAACTCAAAATAAAGGTCATTGTCATTTATTTACATAAATTTTTATAAAGTACAGGGTGTTTTTAAAAGAATGCCGGAATTTTAAACGGTCGTTGCTCGGGGACAATTCAAGATAAATAAACGATTTAAACGTCAAATTGAAGGAAAAAGAACAAAGTTTTTTCCTCATTCTTTGATACAATTTGGAATGATTGAATAAAATTCTGATTTTCATCAATCTTATATGAGCTTAAAACTGGCAAAGTCTGTACGATTAGGGTGATCGGCAGGTTTATCTGATCTCTTCAACGAATCCTTTTAGGCACAAAGACTCTATCTTTTACAGAAAACATCATAAAGTGACCAATTTAGCTTTGTTCAACTGAAGACTTCGTCAGGCAATTGATTTTTTTGGGTTTCTGATGCAGAATTGTCGGATTTCTTCGACTATGGCATTGCTTGTTTTTAGCTGGCCAGGTGAATGTCTTTTCAAAACACTACGGTGCTACAAAACTCATTAAACCAGCTTCAAGTTTCTTTATCATCAAGTAGATTTAAATTTATTTTAATTTAGTAATTGATATAAACTCTGCGAACCACAGATTACAATCTGTGCCTTCTGTTGCGCCGTAAACGTCATACTGGCGACTGGCGTCAAGCGTATGAGCAAAGAAAATAGAACCTAAAGCAGAAGTCTATCCGGGTCTGGGGAAGCGCTGCGCCAAGGTCAACGTCCCTGGTAGTTTCATTCGTCGCCGCTAGATTTCGTGGGCGTTATCGCTGAGTGAGGAATGACATTTTACGACGTCACTCTTCATAACCCATGCACCTCTCTCGTCGTCGTACTCCGTGTCATGTCGATGCGCGTATTCATTTTTGTTGCCGGGCAGTTAACTCTAACTGCCTGGCCGGTTAGTAAAGAGCTTAAATAACCGTAAACTAACTATTTCCTTAATAATTAATGACCACGATGATAAGTTGTTACTACTGTAGGTAATATTTTGCATGATCAACTGAGATTGATAAAAAAAGTTCTGATATTGAACAAAATACTGAGTTGGTGATATTTTTGTTAAAGTTTGTACGACTAAATCTCAACTTCTAATCGACCCATTTTATAATTAATGGTTCGTTGGAAAGCCTAATTCGTGTAAATGTGCAAATAATAATAAAAGTATGATTTTATAAAATATTTTGTAAATAAAGTAAGATTTAAAAAACACATTAAAACGGCTTTTAAAGTTTTTATTTATAGCCTACTTTAGGCTGCCTTTATTTAGTATTTTCATTAAATAAACAATAGTCAATTGTAGGACATTTTATCCTCTTTCAGAATATTTCGTCCCATTTTGGTTGATTTCCTTACAATTTTAAATATTAAGCAACCTACAAATTTATAGTTGCTAGAAAATGCCGAATTAGAGATGAGTTTATTGTTTGTTAAATCTTTGTTCAACTAAACTTACAATTCTACAGGACCAATTTTGTTTGAACAGGTAATTATAAAACTATGATTTTATTAAACATCGTTGATTGTTGTACAGTAATATTAATTCATTGATTTTTCTTTGCTTACATGTTGTTCACAATTTGAGTTTTTTGTTTGTTAATTAAAGTGTATTTCTTATTTCATGTGTGTTTTCAAGGTTATGAGCTTAATCTGTACCAATAATTAATTATTAGTGAGTAATCTGCTGTATGCAAATTTTAATAACCATTACTTTCCTAGAGACAGGTGTATTTAACCACAATGGACTTAGTTGCTAGTGGTAATAATAATGCAATAGGCTAAAGCACAAATGAATCTTTAATTACAAATTATGAACACAAACATTTTGGTTGTCACAAACATCTGTTGAATAGGCTATTTAAACTTTATAATAAATATGGATTGCATTTAGCACAAATATAATTTGTAAACTAAATTGTACTGTTGTCCTTTTTAAAGTAATGGATTACATTTTAGGATTGAAGAAAGTGTGTAAAATGAAATTACTAAAAACTATTCAAGCTACATCTTCAACAACCCCTCAGAAATTTATACAATTCAAAATGTAATTACTATTTTTTTATGTGGAGTGATCAAATCAAATCAAATATAGTCTGAGTAGTTAAACAAGTTTAGACAGTATCATGAATTCAAAAACATCTTTTATGTTAAATTTGACCAAAAATAAAAAAGAACTACTTTGAAAATATTAATAAAAAACTGTTTATTGCACAACTTATATATTTTAGGATAGGTAGTAAATTACCCCAAGAATATTCCTTACAAGAAGATTAAATAAGACAAACATGTTTTGTTTTGATTAACAAACATTTTACTTTCATGTTTGAATGAAAATAAAACAGAAAATAAGTATTAAGAAAGTAAAAAAAGTCAACGAACAAAATTTAGTCTGATGAATTTTTGAAGTGTTCAGTTGAAACTGGGAAGATTATTTATCTTGTAATTCTGTTTTGTTTAGTCTAAATAATGTTTACCATTGAACCGATCAATCTGTGTTTGGTTTCAAGCGTATAATGAAAATATAATTTTTAAATGTCATAATGCTAGAACTCAGTTAACTTCTCTTTGACAATCAAATTAGTACAAATTAAATTACAAAAAGTTAGACCTCTTATCCAACATTTGTTTTTTTTTTTAAAGAAGAAGTTAGGTTACACAACAATTTAAAGTAAGTAATTATTCATACTGTCTCTTTGATACTAAAAATATACTGTAACAATACTAATCTCAGGAATAACTAATTATACATAGTGTTTGAGAGATTAATTATATAGTTGCTTGTAGTAAAGTCCAGTATGATAAAAGTTTGTACAAGTATAGATCTCAATAAATTAAGATTTAGGTATGTTATAGGCTACAATATTATTTATTGCAGACATGACTGGCAAATAAGTCACCCAATTGTTAATGTAAAAAACCAGAGGTTTAAAAATTATATACCTAAAAAAAAATTTTACAACACCTATATAATTTTGTTTTAATGTAGTTGGTATTCAGTATCGAATTTTCATATAATCGGCTTACGTAATTGAATATATAAATGCCTAGTACAAGAGATAGTTTAAATAATAATTCATACTATAACCTGGTTTACTTATGATTTTTCCCTTTAGATGAATAACAATAACAAATACAATTAATTAAATAAAAAGTCAGGAAAGGCTTATAGAAATGTTTGGATGAGTATTAAAATATTCAAAAAAGAATAATTAAATTCAAATTCCACTGGTCATACATAACAAGAAACATATGTTTTTCTAACTTAGTACAGTAGCACTATACATGTTGGAGGATTCGCATTTTGCTGATTGATGTGTTCTTCAGAGACGCGTTGATCCATTTACACTGTTTATACAGAAGAACTCTGAATAATGTTTGTAGCAGGTATGTCACATGCTGATCACATTCTTGGCTCAAGTTTGCCAAGGGAGAAAAGTCTTTCAAACTTGTTCTTGTTCTGTTCATTAGTCTAGCTACAAGTCTTGGTCTATGGGCAATTTTGTTGAAGTATTTTTTGTAAATAGCTAGTGCTTTTGTTACAATGGTTGTTAATGTTGAAGATGGGGCTTTTAATCCGGAAGATGAATGAATGTTGATATTCGGAAATGTTTTGTGGAAAATTAAAAGCTCTGAGGGGTTGTCAAGGGTTGATTCTACACAGTTGCGCTGCAAACACTTTTCACATTGAAATTTTTTATGACAATTCCAAGCTAAGTATCCAGCGTAGTACTGCTGAGAACAAGTTTCTAAATTTACTGGCAAATTCTCATGATCAAAATCTGTCAATCCGTCATAATCTTCATCTTCATCTTCTCTATCACTAAAACTATCTTCTTTCAGTTCAGGGGATAGGTGGTCTTCTGTCTCATGGCTGTGAGCTTTGGAGGATGAATCGCCAATGTCCAATACCATGTCTACGTCAGGCTCGTAGGATGTTGTTTTAGGGGGTTCAATTAAGTATTGCATGCAGAACAACCTCAGGGAGCTACGGAATACCCGGACAGTTGGGTTTTTGTTCCACCCGCCTCGTTGCCTGATGCTTGAAAATAGGTTTTCAAGGGTATCCTGGTTTAATCTGCTGGTCAGTAAATTTTGTACGGTTCCTGTTTGAGTAGTGATATAATTGAATTTGCTGTTAAAAGGATTCCAGGAAAACAAGGTGGTCTGGGGTTCTTGCTGTTGAGTTTACTGAGGTTTTCAAACACATTAATCGCTTTCTTAATTATGTTTACAGTATGGGCATTCTCTAAGCTCAATGCACAGGTATCGGGATTTTTAGTTTTAACAACTCTACTATTCAATACATCAAACAAAGAGTTGATAAAGTCAATGAAATCAGCGGTGTGTAGGGCGGTTCTTGATTTCAGTTGGCCAGTTCCAACAACTGTCCGCAGTGCTGATGCAGTGGTATGGCTGAGGACCTGTGTTGCTAGGGACACGCTCATCTTTTGGAAGCTATTGGGATTTATATGGGCAGGGGTGAGTTTTGGAGCTGCTCTAGTTGATGTACTGCTTTGGTCTATTGTAAATAATTCTTTGATGTCGGTGAAACTGATGGTGTTGCCGTTAAAACAGAAGTCATGTGTGAGGAGGTTGTTTCTTATGGATTTAATTAAATGTGGCACATCATACAAAGCGTGGATTTTAACTCCTTCACATTCAAACCATGGATGTGAACATGCCACCCCTAGCAAATTGTAAGCAGTTCTGTTGGTGCTGTTTTGGTCACAGACTATTGCTTTTATATGGAGACCAGCATCTGATAAACATTTGACACATTTCCTGATTAATTTATATGTCTGGGAACCTGTAAGACCATTCCTACTTATAAAATAGCCAATCGGCATCTTCCAGTGGTAATACAGGCCCCTAATCATAAATACACATGCCTGCCTTCCAACTTTACTGTTTCTCCCGAGACATCCCAAATCTTCATACCCTTCAACCAAGTCATAGCTTGCACAATACTCCAAAGATTGCTTTATGGCCATCTCATCAAGCATCAGTACACAGGACTTTTCCATCTCCTCCATGCTACTTGCTTTGCATTTAATTTGTTGGATAAGTCTGTTGTTAAATCCAGGCTTGAAACATTCTTTAGATGAAATCCACTTCCTAATTGTTGAAACACCAGGCAAAACTATTGATTTTAATAAGTACTTGTAGCATGAAGGAGATCTCAAGTACAATGATATGGCATACAGCTTTTCACTTTTTGACCACGGTTGTCTTCTTTTGTGGTATTGCATACCGATTAGTAATGCCCCGCCTTTGGTTCTTGCTGGAGTTTTATTATAAACTGAGAATCTTTTGAATTTATTTCTTGTTTCTGAAAGTGTCCGTCTTAGTCTAGAAATAGTGGCTCTTTTAACAGCAAGTTTTTTTTGTAGAGTTTCTATATTTTTATCGGGTTGACTACTTGATGAGTTACTAAATAACGTTCTGTTTAGTTTTCTTTTGGCTCCTTGGCTGGTCTGCTTGTCCGGAGATTGTTTTGTTTTTGTTGATGCATTCGAAATCCAAAAAGTTGATGACGGTGTTGTTACTACTGGTGAATGTAAAGATGTTTGCAGTAACGGTGATTGTAATGGTGTTGAAAAATCTTGCCTGTGATAGCGTCTGGGAGAATTGGTTTGGCGTAATAGTACGGGTGAAGGTGAGGGTGAAATCAAACGGGGTCTTTTTGAAGGCGAACCTATGATATTCCCTGTCGAGGTGGCTGCAGGAGGTGGACGTCGTCTCGGGGTTTTAACTGGAGTCATGATTACTGGGGCAGTACTGGTGCTAGGTATTTCTGTAACAAAAACAAATAGGCTATATTAATTGCTTATGGTAAATGGTATTGAAACCAAGTAGTACAAGTTGGCAATTATGTTTTTTGGTATTCCTCTTACATATTTTGCCATAATAGTGATATTCATCAAAATATTTGGAAAATAGGTTTTTTGTAAGTCTGTATTGCTTGCTAACTCTTAGCAAGAATTGGTATTGGTTCCTTTACCTCTAAGGATTGTAATTTTTTTTGATGATTAATACAAATTACAGAACAAACTAGGATTGAAACTTTTTAAATTTTAAAACAAACCCCAATTGTGAATGATAAAAACACCAATTCTCACAACCTGATGAAATCAGGCTTTTAAATTATTCTAATCAAATAAACAAGCTTAAAAGAGTGTAAATACGCAATATTTCAGCTCTGTCCAAATGTTACACAAATTGCATATTTTTTTACAGATAATTAAAAATAAAACATGGTGGAATTGGTGGATAAGAGAAATATAAAATATTAAATATTCTTTATACGTGTTATGTAGCGTACCAATGAAATTTCCTGTCGTAGTAGCAGCATTAGCAGGAGGTGGATGTCTCGGGGTTTTCACTGGAGTTGTGATTCCAGGGGCAGTACTAGTGCTAGGCAAGGCTTCTGTAAAGAAAACTTTGCATTCAGTAAATGATTTTGAAACCAAGCTATACAGTAGAAGAAATAAACTGAATATATTATAACAGAATAGTTACTCTGACATATTTTGCCACATAAGGTAGGTAACATTTGTCTATCGACGGATTTCGTAAATAGTTTTTTTGTAAATTAGTATTGCTTTGCTAACCTTTAGCAGAAAACGCCTAAGGTTTCAATAACAAACTTCGGATCTGGTAAGTTGGATCAAAATATATCCATAAACAAGCCAACTACAACATTTTACAAAATTTTCTTTAAGAATAACATGGAAATTAAAAATGAACAATTTTTTGAATATTCTCCGTAACCGATAACCGTACTAAAACACTTTGATAAACTAAATTCTTTAAGCTCTTATCCCATAAAACATTAGCTAAACCCCGTTCCCATAGTCCGATCATGCTGGTTCCCAAACTCATTCAAGTCTATCCCGCCTTACACCTTCAAACCAAAGTTATCGCGTTCACGGACACATATAACCCTATATATAAATACATACATACAAATTTGAACGAATGGTCTTTTTGGCCTCTGGGGACATAAAAATGAAAAAGTAAATCGGGTCCCAGACCTAGGTCTTACTGTGCCACCTACGGTAAGCCTAACTCTCGCAGTATTAATGTATTATAGTCTGTTCATAAAATGTTGGCGGTTTTGGGGAATTCCCCCCCACTTTTACCTGCTTAATTAAATGAAACTCTTATACTACACCCCTGCTTTTTTGCACATACTCCAAGTAAACGGCTGAAGCGATCCACATGAAATTTAGCACATCCATAGTAACCAATTATGGGAAGGTATAAATCCGAAATGTTACAAATTGGACTAAATAGCTTTCCTCTATGTGTATTCAATTTTTTAGAAATTGAACATGGGTCTTAAGGGTTTATTGGTCGCCATGACATTATTTGCGAGATAACAATAAAAATGTAAACAAAAGAGTTGGTCTGTTGGTCAACTAATAATTTAAAATGTCACATGTATAAATACAGAACAAAAGAGAACATTAATCAAATTAATATAGTTGAGCATAATTTACTGCAAAATAATCAAACAATTACGGTTGCCGGAAATAGGCTAGCACCATTGACTTTAGAAAGGTACTCCAAATAGACATTCTATATGTGAACAAGCAAATATACATTCGATTTAATTGAACCAGACTCAAGACGTGGAGGGGATAGATTTCTTCCCTTAAACCGCTTAAATTCTGTAAATGCGTTAATACATTTGCAAGGTCGTAGTGGAATCGGTAAGAAAAATGTAAAGATATAGTTTATTGAATGTTATACCTCTACTGTTGGCTGATAAAACTCCAGTCGAACCAGAAGACGTGTCCTCATCAGGAGCAGTGTAGCAGTTGGGAAGGGCATTAAATGCAAGTCGACCACTGGGAAGTATGAATTTTTCTTGAAAGTGGCTTTCACATAATCTTCTATTTTTGTTCAGTTTCATTGGAGACAGTCCGATAAGATCAGCATTGCCTGAAATATAAATAAAATAAATTGCATCATCCAAGTCACAGATACCTTTCCTTATTAGCTTGATATTGAAATTGAACTACTACTTTTATAAGCAAAACATTAATTGTAACCATAACATAAAACATCAATGCATGATCAAAACATAAGGCTAATTTTTTGGGGGGAGTCACAAACATTGCAATAATTTCTAATCTGTGAGTGTAACAGCAATATGGGGGTTGAACATCTGGTTTGATGTTAACATGACTGTAATATACAATCAAAACCGTTTAGTAGTGTTGTTGTTAAATATATGATATTTATGTCAATTAATTGATGTGTTTTTAAGTAAAATCACTAATAATAAAAATAACAAAAATAAAAGCTGGAGATATTGTAGACAAAGTACATATTATTATTAAACCATACAAGTTAAATTCATTAAGCCTACCGAAGGAAAAAAAATATTTTTTACGATACGAGATAACCACATAAAACAAGTAGGCATACAGTATAATTAATGTACAGTTTATTGACAGATCCTATAGTTGTTACACCCAAAAAGTTAAAAAGGATAACAATAAAACATCTCCTTAACTTAGTATTTCCCAGACTTTATTTATTTATTGGAACGTGAAATTCCTGTTACTATTCTAATGCATTGTTGTACATGTTAGCATTTACAATAAATTACAACCTATCAATATAATACTGCAATGTAATTTTTTATTGTTTGTTAAATAGTGAACTGCAATAAATGTAGGTAAAAGAACGGAATTGTCCATAGCAAGCTCTAAGTGCCATTCCTTCCATCTAGGCACGCCACCTGACAGGGGGTGGATTTACAACCTTGTCAGCCGACCTAGGACCGTTAGGGCTGTTTTTGGAAAGCCATAATAGTGGCTGTAGCTAGAAAAACACGGTTCAAACGAAATAAAACGCCGCCACCATGACAATATAGTCTGAAGTCTGACTTCTCTATAGTA